CATGCAGCCTCTTTGTACACGCACTGGCCACACATTCACAGGCCGACAGACGGACACACACAGAGACCCTCAGAAACACACGCGGACACACAGGTAATACACACCTCCAGAATCACACGCACACAGAAAATACACACAGTAGACAGAAAACAAGCGGGCGGACAGATCGACACATTCTCCAACACAGGCACAAGAAACACTGACACACAACACACTGACACACGCGTACACCCAGACCCCCAAGGAAACACGCAGACAAAAGCGCGCACGCACACACACCGCACACGACCACCGGCACACTCGCTTCCCCAACGCCTGCCCCTCCCGCAAGACTCTGCCTCAGGACGCCGGGCAAGGGGTGGGGCGAGGATGGCCCGCCCCCGGGCACCCTGCAGGCCGCACTCTCTGGGGACACTCACCCGACCGATCGACATGACCCGGCCGGCCTCTGCTGGGCGGGCCCCGCCCCTGCGCAACCAGCAGCCAAACAGTGCGGCGACCATGGCGCTGCCTCCGCCGCCCCGCAGGATCCCGCCGGCTCTAGGTGGCCGAGAGCGTGGCCACCGAGGCGCGCTTGCGCAGTCCGCAGTCGCAGGCCCAGCTCTCTGTAGCCCCGACCCACAGGGGACTGGGGGCGGCGCCCCGAAGCCCGCAGGCCCGGCCCCCTGTCCAGGTTTTCTGGATTGTTTTCGGCCTGAGAGCCGGACGGAGGGCCACCCAGCTTCTTCCCACCCTCCGCTCTCGCTCAGTCTCCCGTCTGTAAAGCGGGGCTACGGATAACGGTTGTCTTAAGGACTTAAGGGCCGGTCAAGCCTTAGAGCAGTGTCTGAGTAAACGCCAGATATTACTGTTATACGATAGCAGCTCCAGGTCCTCAGCCTCTTCCCTGGCCTTACAAACGCACTCGGGCCTGTGTACACTCAGAGCCCAGGGTGGCCTCTGGGCTCCTTCGCATCACTATGGCACCCATCCTGGTTGACAACCTGTGACCGACGTCTGCTCTGCTCTCAAGCTCAGGCACCGTTTGGCGACCAAGCCCGGCACAGAGGCTGCGCGAAGCGCGCAGGATTCACTCCTTTATTGGCGCCCTGAGAGGAAGGCACATCACACCCATTCTACAGGAAAGAGGCTCGGAGGCGTTGGGCTAACGATCAAGGCTACTTGGCTGGACATTGCCGGAGCCTCGCCCTCCAACCTGTCGGGCCTCAACTTCGTGCCTGCCTGGCACACGACTCCGGGCCTGGGCAGTCCAGTCCAGCCTGGGGATGAGGGAGGAAGAGAGAAGGGAGCAGCAGAGATGCGACCCCCCCCCCCAAAACTCTCCTCCTCAAGGAGCGCCGTGTGGGTATAGGGCAGGTGGCCGAGAGTCTCGGGCCGCGCCCAGCCCAGTGTTTGGGGCACGTGGGACCAAGGGGCTTGGGGAAACTGAGGCCGCTCTGAGAGGATACATCTAGCAGCACCGACCCGTCCTGCGGCGACCTGTGGCCACAAGAGGGTGCCCCGGAGCACAGCCCGGGCCCCGCCCTCTGCGCGGCCACATTCCAGCTTCCGCGCTCCCAGCCCCTTCCCAGCTTCCCCGCCCCGTCTCCATTCTCCGCCAGCATTCGCCTGCCTCCTGCGCGAATTCACGCAGCTCTCCAGGTACCTGCCCTGCGCCCTGGACCCTCTCTTTCTCGAACGCCCACCTATCTCCCCTTCCCAGCTCGTTTTCCCAGGTCCCTTCCCTCGGGTCTGTCTCCGCCCCTACCGCGGGCGCCCTACCAGGCCCAGCAAGCCAGAACCGAGGTCCTCGGAGGGGACAGAGCGAGCGTGGCGGCATCGGTGACCGCGCCCCTGACCTCGGCGTCGGCGCACTGAGCACTCCGCGTCCCTTGCGGGCGGGAACTCCAAAGCCTTTCCCGGCTCAGCGCTCCCGTTTCTGCTTCCAGATAATGCGTGTTTTACTCCAACCCCGACCCCCTCCCGCCAGCGGTGCCAACCCTACGACCTCGTAACAGTGCCTTGAAGAGGAAGAGGTTGATTAGCAAAACAGTCAGCTACTTAACTGTTGACTGAGCACTTACTTGCTTAGTACCAAGTGCTAGGCCCTGCGCATGCGTTGCCTCCTTGAATCCTATCAACCACCCATGAGCTAAGTACTATTGGATCGTCTCCTTTTGTGGAAAAGGATAACAATGAGAACAATAATCGTAATGAGAGTCCCGGGTATTGAATTTTTTCCAAGCGCAGGCACCCTCACTACCAATTTTTTTCTTTTTAACTTGTTAATTCTTGACCTAGACTTCAATGTCCCATATTTCAGATGAGGAAACTGAGGTCCAAGGCCATACAATTAAGTGAGTGGCAGAGGCAGAAACAACACCTACGTTTTCCTCATCTTATAGCACCTTCCGAGAATTCTGGGAGCCTCCTGGAGGCGTCCTTGCTGCTCCCCGGGGGACCCCTGCACTTTTCCCCCGCTGCAGCCTTCCTGCTCTGCCTGCCCGCAGGCTGCTCTGTGGCTCATCAACCCGACCTTGAACCGCAGGTGCTGCGCCAGCACAGGGCAGGATGGCCGGCGTGGAGCAGCACGAGGGCACCGTCCAGGTGCAGGGCCAGAGCCTGTTCTTCCGGGAGGCGCGGCCGGCCGGTGGGCAGGCTGCCCGCTTCTCCGTGCTGTTGCTGCACGGCATCCGCTTCTCCTCCGAGACCTGGCAGAACTTGGGCACGCTGCACAGGCTGGCCCAGGCCGGCTACCGCGCTGTGGCCATTGACCTGCCAGGTACTTCCGGGGTAGGCTTCTGGACAGGGATGGTCAGGGCCTCACTGGGGACCCAGAGCTGGGGGCTGGTGGACCAGAGGGACTTAGCCAGGCTGGGCCATGAGCTCAACAGGGCACAGTGCACACTGCAGGGACCTTTGAGCTTCTCCAGTCTTGATCCAGATGCCCGGACATGCCCAGCTGCTTCTGTGCTGCCCGGGTCAGTGTCTCAGCGTCTCTGAGCCTCTGCTTCCTCATCCGTAATGCGAGACAACCACACTCCTTTTGGGGGTTAGCTCTAGTGAGAATGGAATGAGATTATCCGTGGAAGTATGTGACCAGTACCTGACACGTAATAATTGGTGCTCAGCCAGTTGGAAGTAAAATATTTTGATAGAGCCATTACCATAGGCTCTGTTGGAAGCCCTGAGCAGTGAGACTGTTTCCTGGCACCTTTGGGGGAGGGCAGGACCTGGTAGGTGGCTGAGCCCCTAGTCATGATGCCAAATAGAAAGCATTAAGCTGGGTTCTGGGGGAGGCAGGGCAGTCCCAGACTGCCAGCCACAACTAACATCAGCAGGTCCCAACCCCTGGTGCCCAGTGCGGAAGGGTGGGCTGACCTGCCCCCGTCACTGGCCATGACTAATGGTTTCACAGCCCCGGGGGCGGGCCTCCAGGCCCTGACCTGATTGGTTTTGACAGTGGGTTGGGCCGAGCTTCAAGGCTAAATTCTAGAGCTAATCTTTCAGAGGGATGGTAGGGACTAACTGGAGGGGAGGTATGTGTGTAGAGCCAGCCCCTCAGCCACTGTCCTGGACGCACTCACCCTACCACCCCTTAGTAGTTAATTTTCACAGCGATCTTAAGTGGCAGATACTTTTGTCATCTCCCTTTAACAGATGGGGGAAACTGAACAGCCGAGAGGGCTGAGGGGACTTTCCCAAGGTTGCATAGACAGTAAATGGAAAATGGAGACTTGGACCCAGCCGTGTTGGACTTCAGAGCCTGATTCTTTCCAGGGCACCGTACTGCTGGGGCAGATGGGCACAAACACGAGAGATGTGCCTCATGCTTGCCACTGATACGACAGATCTAGGCTGCTGTACAAATAAACTCGGGCTCACTTCATGTTGCAAGAACCTGGCACGGAATGACTAACCTAGGAGGGCTTCCTGTAGGAAGAGCCCCTTTCTCTCCTGTTTTCCCACTCACTGCCCTGATCTTGTCTGTTCCACACCTGAATCCCTGCAGGTCTGGGGCGCTCCAAGGAAGCAGCAGCCCCTGCCCCTGTCGGGGAGCTGGCCCCCAGCAGCTTCCTGGCAGCTGTGGTGGACGCCTTGGACCTGGGCCCCCCCGTTGTGATCAGCCCGTCACTGAGTGGCATGTACTCCCTGCCCTTCCTCACCGCCCCTGGCTCCCAGGTCCGGGGCTATGTGCCAGTGGCTCCCATCTGCACTGACAAGATCAATGCTGCTAACTATGCCAGTGTGAAGGTACCCACGTGTGAGAGCCTGACATGCCCCTTCCTGGCGCCCTTCCTCATCTGGGGACTGGACGGCTTTTAGGGGAGCTGAACTACCAAATGCCGCCCTGCTGGTTTAATTAACAGATTACTTTGCCAAGACGGACATAAATCCACATCCCTGTCTCTTGGGAGCTGGCCCCCTTCACTCCACTGGGCTAGCTTGTCTCTCCCCCTCATTTGGGGTGACCCCAGGGAGAGACTGAAGTCATGGGGAGGGCCGAAGCCATTCTAGGAGGATGGGGATGGTGTGGTAGGTCCCCGTTGATTCTGCCTCCTTTTCCTTTCTCCAGACCTCGACCCTTATTGTATATGGAGACCAGGACCCCATGGGTCAGACCAGCTTTGAGCACCTGAAGCAGCTGCCCAACCACCGGGTGTTGGTCATGGAGGGGGCGGGACACCCTTGTTACCTTGACAAACCTGAGGAGTGGCATACAGGGCTGCTGGATTTCCTGCAGGGGCTAGCCTGAGGCCCAGCCCTGCTGGTGGGGGTGGGCTGCTTGCCTGCCTGGGGCCCTCTCCCTCTCCATGGGCTCCTGCTCATCGCACACGTGCAACAGGTGTGGCTGTCTGGGTGCTTGTCTTAGGGGGTCTGTCTGTCTTCTTTCTCTTGCAGTGACACACTGAGGTGAAATCAAGAGCAAAAAATTCAGGAGCCAAGGGACTTGGTCTTGTGGAGGGTAACCCTTCAGACGAGCTTCTGCTGTGGGACTTCTTGCTCTGCCTGTTCTCTGCTGTCCTCTGCTCTGCCCAGCCTCCGCCTCCTGGCTCCCACCGCCTCCGCTGCCCCGCCTCTTAGGCCTCAGATACATGCATGCTTACACACGTTCCACACGTTCCCAGAAGTGACCCGCTATGTGGGTCCCTCTACCTCTGCCTGACATGCACAATCAGGTGCAGCTTTGCTTTGCGTGCAGACACACACGCATACTTGTGCTTCCACACTATGCAGCACCCCACTCTCTGGGAAGGTGGGGACCCCAGGGGACAGGCCTCGCAGGAGATCCTCTGCCAGGCTTAGGGTGTGGCCTGCTGCCTTCCATTCACCCACAGGTTGCAGCTGACTTCAGATAAAGAGTTATCCCCCAAAAGGAGAGGACCACTCTCTTGACCCTCAGATCTCCCCGCTTTCCCCGCTCCTTCTGGAGGCTCCACACCTCCGCGGGTTATTAGGCCTGGGTCTTCTTGGCCAAAGCTTGTTTCGTGCTCTGAGCTTTGGGGGAGGAGAGTGGAGGTCGGTGAAATAAAGCGATGCAATTAGACCCCGCAGGCTCTGCTGTCTCCAGAGCGTCGCCCCTCCCCCGCCCCTAGGGACTGGCACCACGGGCCCCTCCCCCACCCTAGCGGGACCAGATGGTCCCCCTGCCCTTTGTCCACCAGACCAGATGGAGAGGAAGGGAGATTGGATTCCCCTCCCCACCCCCACACACCCAGGTGCCAAGAGACTCAGCTGCGGGGGGAGGCGGAGGTCAGTGGGACCAGGCTGAGCCGATTACGGGGTGGGGGTAGGTAGATTTGCTCCCCTGAGCGCGGCAGCAGGGGTGCGGTGGGGGAAGCAGAGGGCCTGGGAACAGCCCGGCCTCCCCGTAGTCTTACCCATTCCCTACGAGAGTATTCAACTGCGCCGCCTCCCTTGTGACCCTAGCCCCAAAAGGAATTCTGGGGTAGCTTTAGGGGAATCGCGGGCGTAGGGGCACGGGTCACACCGCTCTCGGGCCCCTCCTCCGGCTGGTCCGGTAACCTGTCCTGGGCAGACTAAGGCCGGGCCTCGCGCAAGCCGTTGGGTGGTTGAGGGGTGCGGGTCTCGGTGGGCGAGAGCCCCGCTCGGGGTTGGATGGCGCAGAAGCAGCAGAGCTGGGAACCCGGCCCGGCGGAGGGTGGAAGCCCGAGCTTCGAGGGGCCCGAGCCGGAGCCGGGCAGCGCGGGGTCTGGCGGCGGGGCGGAGGCCGGGATGGGGGTGTAGGGAGCTCGGCCGAGAT